ATTATATTATAGAGCTGTATTCATAAAAACTGCATGGGACTGGTGCAAAAATAGATCCATAGATCAATGGAACACAGTAGAAGATCCATACATGAGAACATGCAGTTTCAGTCACCTGGTATTTCACAAAGGCGCCAAGAGCACACAATGGAGAAAAGACAGCACCTTCAACAAATAGTGCTGGCAAAACTGGATCTCCACCTGCAGGAGAATTTAATGGGACCCCTATCTTTCACCCTGCACAAAAATCAACTCCAAATGGATCAAAGACCTCAATATAAAACCTCAATTCAGAAACTGGTACAAGAAAACAGAAGCAGTTCCTTCCAAGATACAGGCACAGGAAAGGACTTTCAAATCAGACATCAGCTGCTCAGACATTAAATTCAATGTTCAGTAAGTTAATCATTAAACTACAAAGCTTCTGTACAGCAAAAGAAACAGTCAGGTTAAAGAAATGGAAACCCCTGAGTGGGAGAAAATCTTTACCAGCTACACATCTGACAGTGGATTAATACCCAGAATATACAGAGAATAAATGATCCAGTAAGCAGACAGGCTATAGACCTGAACAGGGAGTTCTCAAACAATGAAATAAAAATGGCTAAGAAGCACCTTAAAGTGGTGGCACACGCCTTTAATCGCAGTACTCAGGAGGCAGAGACAGGCGGATTTCTGTGAGTTCAAGGCCAGCCTGATCTACATAGTTCTAGGACAGCTGGGGCTACAGAGAGACAGAAGAGACAGAGAGACCCTGTCTCAAAAAGACCAAAAAAAAAAAGGTGCTCAGCATCCTTGGTAATTAGAGACATGCAGATTAAAACAAAACAAAAACACTTTAACATTCCATCTTACTCCAGTCAGATTGGCTAAGGTAAAGAGAATGAATCACTCCCAATGCTGGAGAGCACGTGGAGAAAGAGGAATTCTCATTCACTGCTGGTGGTATTGCAAACTCATGCAACCAGTATGGAAAGCAGTGTGGAGAAGTCTCAACTAAAAATGAACCTACCACATGATCCACTTATACCACACCTTGGCACATGCCCAAAGGACTTGTCATGGTGTGGAGATACCTGTGCATCCATGTTTGTTGCTGCTCTCTTCACAATAGCTAAGAAATGGAAACAACCTAAATGTCCCTCAACTGACAAATGGATAATGAAAATATGGTTGATTTACACAATGGAGTTCTACTCAGCAGTAAGCAAAAATGAAATTATGAAATTTTCAGGTAAATGGATAGATCTAGAAACTGTTATACTAAGAGAAGTAACACAAATGTAGAAAACCAAGTGACGTATGTTCTCCCTCATTTGTGGATTGTAGCACCAATCCCTTATATGTGAGTGTATATCCTGGTGACGTAACACCGGGAGCCAGGAAAATGGAAAGAATACACTGAGATAGAGGAAAAGAAAGAACCAGAAAGAGGGGAATAGTAGGGGACAGATGTTATGGGGGGCAAGTGGGGGAAGTGGGAGGGAGTGTTCAGCAGGAAGGAGAGGAGGGAAGGACATGCAAGGGGCCATGGTTGGGTTGTGGGGGAGCCAGGAGAAGGAGGGTGGTGGACGACTGGTGGTATTGGGGGGATGGTGGGGATAATGGGGTCGCTGGGACTGGGGAAGGAGGAGAGAAGCTTGATGGGAGGATAAAGAATAGAGATGAATGAATCTTGGGGGCCCAGGAAACCCAGAGGAAAATGTGATGCCGCCAAAATCCCATGACAAGTGCACACACCATGTCTAAACATTGCCAGGCAGAAGAGACCTCCCTTTGAGTGGTGAGAGTGGTCCAAGAGACTCCCAAAATAACACAGGCTATTGCCAAACCTTTTGGTTATCTCCCAGAACTAGTAGGTAAGACCTACTGCTGAAGATAGGACATACCTTGGATACAGAACTTGGAGCAATAGAGCAGGAACCGACCTGGAAGCCTTCTACCTGAACTTTAGCTATCATAATGCTAGATGATAATATGCAAACAATCAATGGTCTAACCCAGGCCTAAAGCCTAATAACCAACTGGCATGGCAAATGACCTCTATTGATACAGTAGTGGCACTGTTCTGGGGGGCAATCAACAGCTATCTAATTGGACTTAAAACCCTCTCAATGGTAGTGAACTCATGCGTGGCACTGTAAACTAAATACACATGCAGAAGAGGACAAAGGTCCTAGAGAAAACCCCATCTGTTTCATATCTCTAGACAACTGAAATTTCTTACTATGTGCTAAATATGGATCCTTATATGTACAGACAAGCATACCTTACACCATGCGTCAAAGAAGCTTCTTTTTGCAACAGATGGAGGCTACTGCAGAGTTCCACAGCGGGTCAGACACAGAGAACATACTTCTGAGAGATGCCCAGTATTAGGTGACACATCTACAGTTGAACCTCTTCATCTAAGACTCATGAAGCATAGCAGAACACGGAGTAGAGTGAAAACTACTGCACCCTCAACTATATAATCTTCTAAATACAACGGAGTGTGATGCACACAGGCCACAACTAGCCAAGTTTTAAAGACTAGGAGGCTGCAGAGTGTGTGTCCTTGGATAGGACTTCCATATTGAACCTCATCCACCCATGGCTCAGGGACCACTGCAGAAGAGGGGATGGAAAGATTGTAAGCCAGGGCTGGTTCGATAACACAGGGAAGCAGAGGCTTTCAGACCACTGGCAGCTTGCACATGTGAACTTGTGGCAACGGTGGCATGGAGCACAGGACGCATGGAAGGAGATGAATGGGTGGTGGGCTGGGCCTAGACTGAGAACTATTGGAGACTGATTGCTACTGACGAGGGAGAGTGTGTCTTACATATGATCTCTAGGTGGGCTGATTAGACTCCAGTGGATGAATTTGCACTAAAGGACATCTGGGTACAAACGCTTGACTGGATGAAACTTGACATGTATGGTGGAATACATGAGGTCCAGTGGGAGGCTGTGGGGGGCATGGTTGGGGAGGACGTTCTAAATTTGATTAAGAATTGTTCTATGAAATTACAAAATCTGAATAAAATTTTTTTAAGTATGAAGAAAAGCTACTGTGTTTTGGTTTTTCAAGCAGAGTAAACAAAATGGAATGATGTAGCAGCCCATGGAACAGTGTTAAAAGTAGGGCAAGCTGCTAATGCGTAAGGAAAATTACCACCCCTGCAACTTCTAAGGCGTCTTATTAACAGTGATAAACATAATAGTGGTAATGATATGAATAGCAGTTATCATTTAGTGAATGCAAGGCATCATATCAAACACCTGTGTCTAGTGGCTTACTACTTAACCATGAAATGGAAGTGTTACTGTGCCATTTTATAGATGAAAAATGTTATGTGTAGGTGAGCGATTATCCAGGCGCATTGACAGTGAGCAATAGAATCAAATCTGACTCATGTGTTTGAATTCTAAAGGTGGTGGATCTCACACCTGAGCAATTGACACAGACCTCACATCCTAAAGTTACTTGATTTCCTTAAACTTATAGCTCTTACATAGGTAAAATTCAAATTCATGGCATTAGTGTGAGACAACGTTTTTCTGAAATGAGATGCTGATTGCAAGAAGAGTCCGTAGCTTGCTTTTGGGCAGGTGTTAGGAGATCTGTTTGGTTTTACTTGGGCACGTTTGTATCATCCTGTGTTTGGGGTGGCCTGGCTCTCCTACCACTTTTCTCTATCCTGACTTCTTTCAAATACCCCTTCATTCAACACTCTGATAGCATTCGACCCTCACTTTGCCTAATAAGCACTGTACTGTCATTCCTTTCTCTGTTTTTATTAGCTGTGATGAAAACTGTTCCCTTGGGATTCTGAAATGTCATGTTTCTGTGTATTTACTTGTGAGTTGATGGTCAGCATGTGATCTGTAATGTATTAATGTATTAATAATATAATGTGTTATTTGGGGGTTATCTAGAAGAAACCACAGAATTTAAGAAACTCACTGAGGCCAGTCATACCAGGCCTTTGTTGTTTTGCTTGAAGAAAAATGGCCCTACACTTCCTCCAGAACACTGTACCTCTGTTTGTGTGGGGTAATAAGTAGAGATCCAGGAGGCCTCCATCAGCCTCACTCAGTCCCCTTGCTTATGCATCTGGATCTCTGCCATCACCCTCTTTAACTTCCACCAACTTATTCACCTCAGTGTGGCTTTCTCAGAATAGCAACTTTTAAAACGTAGCTGAGGAATTACCTTTCCTGAAACCTTCCCTGTTGTTTCTCCACATCTTCTGCGTCTCTGCTCTACCTGTTGGACCTCATCATCCCGGTTTCCTGTTAGCTCTCTTCCTGTCCCACTGTTAGAACCTCATAGCCCTGTTTGCATAGCTGGTGCCATACCGTGCCCTCTGTGTGTCTTTGGTCTGCCTGTTGGCTTGTTGAAAGCAAGGCTTGCCTAGGACACCCATCTCACTAGCACAGTGTCAGAAATGGAAGTGGTTGCTGTGCCCTGGCACTGCTCCGGAGTCGGTAGTGATTTTAGAAGCCAGGAATCAAAGGCAGACAAGGGCATCTTTCTTACTCACTTATGTAAAACTTGCCCCATTGCTGTGGTAGACTGAATGAGCCTGTGAAGCTAATGATGTTAGAAGTAAGCTTCCCTAAAGCATTAAAGACAGCATCGCTTTATTTTTCTTTTGAGCAGGAGCAGTGATTGTCTCCACACCTCAGGACATTGCACTGATGGACGCACGCAAGGGAGCCGAGATGTTTCGAAAAGTCCACGTGCCCGTAAGCATTTACAGCTTCGCTGGTAAAAGCAGGAAACTCATCTAATTGAAGAATCAGCCATTAAAAAGATGCCGTCCAGGTTTTTGTTTAGTCCTCCACAGAAATATTTATGAGAGTCCTAGTTCATTGTTATGAGTCCTATAAAGCATACTTAAGGATACAGACATGTCTAAACATTATGTTAATGGCAAGCAGACAACATTTGGGTATTATGAGTTTTCTGAAGAAGTATCCCCTCCATCAAAATACTGACGTAGTAACAAGAGTGTCTTTGGAAATATTTGGTTTATAGACTTAAATAGACCACCAGGGGAAAGCAGGTGAACAGATCATGTTTTTCCTTCTGACTGCCTGCATTTTAACTCTTTGATACCCTACGTTCTTCTAGACAGTATTTCAGGATTTTCTGTACAATATGACAAAACAATGTAAGAATACAATAAAAATAGACAGAGACTAATTGAGACCAAATGGAGCCAAAAGTAACGTCAGCATACAAACTGCATGCTGCTAAGGAACTTAAATATGCCATAGATTTTCTAGCACCCAAAGGAAAAAGCATGGTACCAATTAAGTTGCTGTCCATCTCCACGTGGTGAAAGCAAGCTGCTTTCGAGAGAAGCACAGCTGAACCTAGAGAGACTTTCACTAGGTTCTTGTAAGGAACACTCTCCTCACCTTCGTTACTGAAAGTGACAGGGCTTTTCTTCTGGCACGAGTCAGCAAAAGCCATGACAAAAGCGCCCGAGGATAATTAGAGCCGTCCAGGGTGATGCTTCCTTCCACTGTCTCTCCAGTGGCCTTCCTTTACGGATGGACTTTAAAATATTTTATTTATTATTTTTATTTTATGTGTATGAGTGTATTGTCTACATGTGTGTAAGTGCACTCATGTCATAAAATGCCCACGGAAGCCGAAAGAGGGTGTTGGATCCCCTGGAACTAGTGGTATAGACAGTTGTTAGCCACCATGTACCGGGTGCTGGGAACCTGGGTCCTCTGTGAGAACAGCCATTGCTCTTAACTGCTGAGCTATCTCTCCAGCCCCGTGGATGAATTTTTAGAGCTTGAAGTGCAGAGCTATTAAAACTCAGTTCAGGCCTGAGAGATGGTTCAACAGTGCTGCACAAGCCTGAAGACCTGAGTTCAATCTCTAGAACTCATGTAAAGGTGGAAAGAGAGACCCGGCTCACAAATTTTCCTCTGAACTCCACATCTGCGCCTTGCCACACATGCCCACACTCACATATGCGTATACAGTGATAACAAATGAAATTGTTTTTAAAAAAACTTGGGCCCACGGATTAGTTTCAGGGGGCTCAGAATTCTCCCCACTAAAATGTATGCTGATTGTGTTTCTTTTTGGAAAGATTTAATAACGTTCCTCAAATTTGTCAATGAGACCATGATTCAGGAAAAGATCTGGTAATATTAAGGGATGCTTTCTTATTTGTTCTTCTCTGGGAGAAGCTTTAAAGAGAAAAATTCCCAGCACCAAAAGCAGCTGACAACCATATGGAACTCCAGTTCCAAGGGATCCAACACCCTCTTCTGGCTTCTGTGGGCATTGCATGACACAGGTGCACTTACATACATGTAGACAATACACTCATACACATAAAATAAACAACCATAGTAGCGTCCAGGTGATCGTCCTCAATGGCACGTCGTCCTTCCTTGTCAGCCTGAGTGGGGCTGTGTGCACTGGAAACCAAAACAGGCTCCGATGGGAATCGAGGGGCAGTGTAAGGGGAAGACCTCTGTGCTCGCTTTCCAGTACTGAAGGGGGTTTTCACTGGAAGAGCTAAAGTCCTGATTAGGAAGTAGTTTAGAGCCAATGCTCCATGTTATGAAGTTTAGCTTGGAAAAAAATTAGAGCAGTGATAACCACATGGCCACCTCTGACAGAAGCCTCTCTCCAAAGCACTTGTTTGAACAAATGTGACTTTGTATTATGTCCTCCAGAATAAACTAGATACAAATAGTGCTGGTACAGACCCCTGAGTAGGGTGGCCTCTCATAGGAGGTTTCAAAGGTAAACTGACAAAGAGGCCACTGTCTGCTAGAAATGACGGCACTGAGCCAACAAGTAATCTGTAATCCTTTCTGGCAAAAATTTGGTCACAGGGCCATTGGTCTGTTAGTAGCACTTCAAGGTCAGGATAACAGCCACTCTTTCTACATATAAATGAATACTTAACTTCTCATTTTGTATAAAGGCATGCATCTAGCTCATTCAAAAACATCATCAAATCCTTGAGGGAAATTGTTTTCAATGAGCACGAATTGGATTTTCTCTCTCCTCAAGAGTAAGCATTTTCTGTGCAAACAGATTGTCTTACCTAGTGCTGCCATTTGAGTTAGCGGTGGTATGGACTTGGCCCTTTGTGGACTCTCTGTAGTCTCTCTAATGACCATAATTGCCAAATTTGGCATGTACACATTTTAGCCCAGATGGTATTTTCCTGTGATACCCTTGACACTTCCTGACTTACAAATAGCAAGGCAAACAATCCCATACAGCACTGAGGGGGTTTTCTGGTCTCTCAAAAGCCAAATCATTCTTGTGGAACATAGCAGAGGGGGAGACGGGCTGGTCACTAAGCACACATTAGGGTGTTGCTACGTGGAGAGCCATGTTGGAAATACCATGAGAAGTGTTTCAACCCGCTCATGGGATTGTTTCAGGATCCATTAGAAAGTAAACAGCCTCACACCATTAACGTTAGAGTTTAAGTTGAACATTAGAGTTGGAACTGTTCTGGGTCATGACAAGGTCCAGGATGTGGTTGTGGGTTTATTGGGACTGAATGGCAATAGAAATAGAAATCATTGGAGCTGTGCATTCCATGGGTGATTCTAAGAGGAATCATTCCTTCCGCTGGCATTTTGGACATCTTCCTATTGTATCTTTGTGATGGCCACTCCCCCCTTGACTTTCAGAGAAACTTTACTTATAGCAGACTTAATTCTATACATGCCATTGTTAAATTATATCTCCCATAATTCTTTTTGTGGCTTTCTCAGACTTTTTATAATGTCTTTAAGTCTTCTAGTTTTGTTTTTATTTTTTATTTCCATTTTGGAACAATCCTTTAAGACAGAAGTACCATTTGAAATTCTTTCTCAACTGAAAGCACCCCCTTCACTCACATTTTTATGTTTTGTTTTGAGTTACCTACTTACCCCTTCATAGGTAAGCAGGTTAAAGCACGGGTGTAAGTTGTCTTAATCTTTTGGCTAAGGAACAGCACCATCTAGTCAGAAGCAGAAATCTTGGCATCAGTAGATTTTTTTCAGAGCTCTTCCATGGTTTCCACCTGAAGAACAGACGACAACTAGAGTGTAAGCTGAGGACCAGCCGGGAGAGTGAGAGGCACTGACGACTTGGGGTTGGAAGGTAGAGAAGGATGTAAAAGGTGATGGCATGCTGGGTGCTGTGACCCCAGCACACAGGAGGCTGAGGCAGGCAGATCTCTGTAAGTCCAAGGGCAGCCCGGTCTATAATGCAAGTTCCAGGCCAGTCAGGGACACAAAAGAAGACCTCTCAAAACACAAAAACAGAAAACATGACGCCATGTTTCTGTTGAAGATGAATATATGTATCTCTGTTTACACATATAGATTATAAAATGGGGGAACATACTATTTTAGTGTGCTTTCCTTTTGTCTCTCCTAGTGCAGTCTTTATTATGTCCCAGGCACCCTTTTGGTCAAGGGGAGATTTGAAAATGAAAGGCGACCATGTGTCAACTTTTGCCCTTGGAACACAGAACTGACAGGAGACAGCCTTGCCATGCAGGAGTCGTCAGGTCCTTCTCCCGCTCCTGAACCCTATGAACAGACTGTGAGAACTGTCCCATAGAGTTCTTCAGGGATGTGAGGGGGGCGCTTCTGACCACCATGGAGCCTTAGCTGGGGACGGGAAGGATAGGAGCATAAAGAACCGCAAAAGAAAAGCTGAATTCTGACCTCGAAGGATGGAGGGACGGAACAGAGAAGCAGGTGGCCAGGGCTGAGGAAGGCGTCCCCCTTGGAGATCCGAGGAACAGGCGACCAAAGGACGTGATGAAGGCCTCGTTTCCCTTGTCTGTGTTGCTGGCCTGGAGGGTCTGGGTCTGTGGGGAGAACCCTGAGGACAGGATCACAGGCTCTGCTTGTCACTTAAGTCTTGTAAGGTGCCGTCTTTTGCACTGTCTTTAGAATAGCCAGGACAACAGGAACTTTGCTTGGGCAGAGGCAGGTGTACCAGTTAGTACTATGTGCTGGGCAGCGTAGATTAGATTTATTTTCTCACAGCTCTGGAGGCTGGTAAGTCCAAGGTCAAGGTGCTGGTTGATTTAAGTCTTGTGGGGGTTTTCTGCCTAGAGTGCAGAGGGGTAATAGCCCCTTTTATGTCCTAATTTGCTATAAAAACAATCTAAAAGCAGGTAGAATGTCTTAAACATCACTTATAAGTGCAGAACACCATGAGTGTTCGTTAGGTTTGAAAGCAAATGAGAACTTCCCAGCAGTGAGCTCTGTATGCAGTTAGATAGCCATGGTGCCACTACACAGAAAAGGGGTCTTGGCTGTAAGTGGGAACTGGATTGGATGACTTCTGAGGTCCCTCTGGCTCTTAAAAACCCCAGAGTCTTAAGTAATGGCAAAGTGTTTGGAATTAAAGTGTTCCATAAATGCGAAGATGTTACGCTTTGTTTATTCACTTTACTCCCTTTCCCCTGGCTTTCAGTCTTGCTCTGTGTTCCCCACTTTTGAAGTGCATTAGTTACCATAGAAACAATGATGTCATTGGCATTCATTGGTATGGACAGAGTTTAGTAATGTCTTCAAGAACATTTTGAAGTTAATTTAAATGATTTCTTAAACCTCGGTGCACAGCTTGGGAAAGGAGGAGGGGATGAGGATAGATCCTCTGTCTTCTGTCTGAAATGACAGAAGCCACAGCAGACCTCTGACTCCAGATTTACATGTGGACCACTAAAAATAATGTTCAGCCT